CCCAAATTTTTCATTGCAAAGAAATGTTTGACCCTGAAACAAATCATTCACAAATTACATGCCTGGGCTTGACTACGTGGAATTCAGGCCGCTAATTTTTATGGCACTTCTCTACCCTGTTATTCATGCCCACTATATGCGGCTTTGGCAAATGTCCTCCTTGCAACTTAGGCAGCAATTGAGAACATCTCACTAGCTCTTTCCAAAGGAGTGAGAGTGGCACGAGATGTCTGCAAAGAGCTTTGACGATGGTCGACCCCTTCCAGACAGCAGAAGGATGAGGGCATTGATTTCCACAGCTGAGACTTACTTTCCCAGTTCATGGTCCTGAGAGAGGACGGGGAGGAAGACCGAGAAGGGAACGTGTCATCCGTGCAGTAACATACTCCAGGGAGCCTGAGTTTCTCATCAGGGCAGGCGCTGCCCTCTGAAATCTCCAACAAGGCCCACAGCTACCGGAGATGGCTAGTGACAATAGCCAACAGGGCTCCGCTGGCAACACCAGTCCCCCGGACTGCCCTGGAAAACACACTTCTGCCAGAAAAGGTCTCTGGACTCACTCAGTTCCTCTAAGAAATGGCATGGTCTGAAAGTCAGAGAGACGCAACCCTGGCTGTGTCTGCGTCCCCGCTGATGCCGACAGACTTGGCCATGACAATGACAAGGAAATAAAGCTACTGCTCTCTCCTAAACACTGACAGAATGACCATGAAATGAAAACGCGAAGTGAAACTGCTTTCAAGATTTCCATTCTCACCTCTCACAGGTCAAACCCCACTTCGCAAAATAAGTCAGAATTGTAAAAGGTTATCCAAGTTGATTAATTCTTAACAAAATTTTATTTCAATAAATACTGTTTCCTCCAAATAACAACTACAGTTTCAGGGAATAAATGTACAATCTAGAAGAATCTTTAGAATTATTCCACTTTTCAGTTTTGCCTGAGTGAAGAATATAGTTTGGGCCTGAAAAATCTAATTAGAGACTGTGCTGCAGTAGCATGCTTAGAAAGTCAAGTCAAAAGGACACACTGAAAACAGTCCACCTTCGACGTGCATGCACACACATGCCTGCACACTCGTGTGGGGATAAGAGACTGCACACACATGTGTGGGGATATCTGCATGTATATTTGTAGAATAATGGGACTCACTTGAGTTTCACTTATCTTAAATACCCACTCTTCTGGGCTCTCAGAATTCTGTCATCACCAAGGATTTACACATAATTGCGTCATATATTGAATCATTTGGTCGACATTTGCTTTACAATGTTATATCCCAAACGGGCAGCTTGTCTTAAATAACACTGTCAGCCTGAGAGACCATGAAAGATGTACAGCCTCTCCTCCACAAGAAACCTGCAACACAACACATCCTATTGCAGTTGCTGTGGAAAATACACACCATTTATAACAGAGCAACAACTGAACATTACAAACTAAAAAGTAATAATGATTCTACCACTGTCCAAGCCAGAAAAGACTAAAGTCGCCGACACAGAAACAAATTCTGTGTCTGCAACTTTTCATAATAAATAAGAGGTTGCTAGGCCAATGCCAAGCAGCAGGGGGTGCTTCTGTCCGTCAGCAAGCAAACGTGGCCTAGGGATGCAGGACATCAGCAACGTCAGCTGTACGTCAGTGCTAACCACAGACCAGACAGGAAAAATCCTGCACATGAAAAAACAATTTTCAGGATGTTCCAAATATTGACTAAATACATCCAGAAAATCCAGAATTTACTCAGAAGTTCAGCAGAAATGCAATTTTCCAGCTCTGTGCCAAAAACACCTCTAACCATTAAAAATAATTAAATTCCACTTACTTCCGTAGGACTATGTTAAATAAAAACATGAAACTAACTCCTTCAAAGCAAGCAGTCAAGTGACAATGAGTAAGATGAGCCATGACAACCTCACACACGTGATTAATATAAAGCAATCAGTTTGTTACTTTATTACATTTTAGTGCTTTCTTAAAATGAACATGGTAACATAGTATCTAACACACAAAAGGAAAGCACACGTGTGCAAGCGTGGAAACCACGTTCACTTGGGACGGCTACACTCAGCA